TTCAAAAACTGTTTAAAATTTTTTTCATTAAATGCAATTTTCAAATTTTATTTTAATTAAACATCCAAACAGCCAACTGTTTGACTCTAAAACCTCATATTTCCAAAAACTTCCATGAGAAAGGTATTTTCTTGATTATGATTCTAAAATATCTCTGGTAATTTATATTTGGGCTCTTTTTCTTTTAATGTATTACCTTAATATCTTGAACATATTACACTTCTATTATTAAGTTCCCCTGACTTCTTTTCCTCATTTGAAGAATTTGGAAAAAAATATTTAGGTTCTTCTCACTTATAGTTATTTTTTATATTTCTTAAAAAAATTGCAGTCCGTCAAATCAAAAATTTTAAAGCTAAAATAAGTTTTAAAATTACTAAAATGTTAGTCAGTCATCAGATTGATGATACATAATGAAAGACTATTAAAAAAATAGAGATTTGTTTTTCAGTGTGACAAAGCAAAATCAAACAGTAATGCAAATGGCTGCCAAGAATATGAAATTAACCAGATCCATTTGGCAATAAATTTCTGAACTGATATAATTTTTGATATCTTCACAAAAAATTAATTAATAATAAGTAAAAAATCCGAAAGTTTTCAGATTTTATATTATGCCCAAAGAGGATTTTTTTAATGTTTTGTGTGTAACCTTTATTTATTAAATATGTTCTTCGCAATTAAAACATTAAAACATAAAATTCAATTCAACAGCTATATCACAAAATAATTTTAAAAAAGCATATCTTTAGAATTTCCGATACACAGTATTGTGTGCTGGAGATTAGAATGTTTTTTTTTTTTTTTTTTTTTTTTTTTTTTTTTTTTTCCTGTGTGTCACCAGAGTGTGTTGCCATTGCTCGCTTTTCAATTGTTAAGTTTGTTAATCAAAAATTTGTTAATGCTTTTCAAAATATGAAACAGATTATAAAACAAATTCCAAATTAGGGCTTCAAGATGCCCATATTCAGTTGGAGAATTACATTATTCAAAATTTGATGGCTGTAGGTACCATTGTTTATCACAATGCAAGAAACATACATATATTTATGTAGTTTCTTCATTATATAATTTTTTAATTGTAACACAGGGTCATAATATTTGGTGGCAACAGTTTGAAAAGTGACACAGTCTTTTAAAGTTTTCAACGTAAAATGCCAAAATGAAACTAATAGCCCTTCTGGGCTAATGCCCTTTGGGTTAAAAAACCAGTTTTTTAACCCAAAGGGCATTATAGCCCAGAAGTTTTCAGGGGTAAAATTAAAAGTATGCTGCAAGTAAAAATATAAAACTAGAAAATTTCTGTCAACCTTGAAATACGAAAAGCCGAGAGGTTCTCAGGCCTCAAACTGGGAGTTTCTGGGAGAATTTCATGTTGTATGGGAGCACCATTTGGAAAAATTCCAAACTGACTTAAATTCATTTTATAATGCTTGATTCATCTTATTCAACTATTAAATACTATATTTTTATATAAAATATATTAATAAGATATTCTAAATTTCAAATTCTTTTTACTGAGAAAATCCTTAATAGGGGAAAGAAAGATTTATTTATCAAAGGTACTTTGAAACATGATGAAAATAAAATATATATTTGATGTTTCAGACAAATTTAGTAAGTACTATTATTCATATAGTGATGTAAAAGTATTTTGTAGTATTTATTCATATATTGATGTAAAACAAAATTAAAGATGAATATTAAGTGATTAAACATTGCTTGAAACTTCATGCAAAGCTCTACAAATGTCTACACAGATCAAGAGAATTCAAATCAAATAAACTGTAATAAGAAAATTATACTGAAAATAACTAGAATGAAATCTGCATAATTTATGTTTTACTAATTCAATAAGTTTCATTTATTCCTGAAAAGTGCTTGCCTTAGTAAAGGCTAAAAATTAAAAATCCAGGAACCTGCGAAATGTGACTCCCCCCCCCCCAAAAAAAAAACTGGAAGAGTTGGCCGCTATGATATAAGTTGCCAGATATGAGAATGATGTTTCCAAATTTTATAAAATGAAATCCTAATCAATGAAATCTGCATAATTTAAGTTTTACTAATTCAATAAGTTTCATTTACTCCTGAAAAGTGCTTGCCTTAGTAAAGGCTAAAAATTAAAAAACCCAGTAAAATGCAAAATGTGACCAAAAAAATTGGAAGAGTAGGCAGCTATGATATAAGTTGCCAGATATGAGAATGATGTTTCCAAATTTTATAAAATGAAATTCTTATCACTGAAAAGAAAGAAAATAAAAATTTACAATGTTAGTAATTTAACTGCCCTTTCATAAGAATATTTTAGTTTATATTAATAACTGATAAAGATATAATGTGAAAATTTATATTATGTTTTATAATGCAATAATTTTAAAACCATTATTCAAATCAAGTTTAGAATACCCCTTAATACAAATGATTCATTACCTTTTAATCATGTAACCATTTCCACATACAGCTTAAAAGATAATTTTTCTGTAAATTCTGCAGCATGTATTCAGTATATTAGAAAAAGATCCACACATAATAATAAGCTATTACACATTTTTTTAACTAAAATATTATTAAAGAAAGAAAAGTAATAAAGAATACACATGTTAGAATCTTTTTACAGTGATATCATGTGTGTAGAAAAAATACGTAGTAGTACTTGTTGGTCAATCTTGTACCTCCCAATATATCACCAGACATCCCACCCATGACACTATTTAAGACCATTCTGCAATGTAAAAACTGTTTCTGATTCTATTATAAATACAGATTTTTATTTCTTTTCTTATTAACATTTTTTAGGGGACCCAAGAAAAGGTTCAGCTGACTTCTTCCCCTCACCTCTACCCAACTTGAGTATACAAGTTATTAATTTGAATGTGAAATTTTTTATATTTGTCTTTTTTTTTTTTTTTTTTTTTTCAATTATGTAACACTGAACAATGAATATGGCCATAAATCACAAGTTATAACTTGATATATTTATACAATGCTAAAAGCCATCAAATCATGTACGGAATAGAGGTTTTTATTTGCCATTGTATTTAAGCATCCCATAGCCACGAGCAAGTACAGTAAAACCCTGCTCAACCTGGGGTTATGTCCAAAATAGTGTTAAATGGGGTCATCTTATCATGTAAATAATGGGGTTAGGGGAAAACAGGTATAAAAAGAATTGCTCAAATATTTTGCTATTTAAGTTCATAAAATATGTTTTTTTATAACAATACAAAATAAAAACTTATTTCTTACAAATAACTGAAACATTACGAATGAATATACAGAACCAAGTAAAATTTTAAGTCACCATTTATATTTTAGATCATTCAGATTTTTTTTTTTTTTTTTCCAAAAAGTTATCTAATGTCATTTGCATTGAGTAAGAAGTTGTCGTTAAGGGTACAAGGTATCCATGACATTCCATCTTGCCTTTGAACTCCTATCAAAATCTGCATTATTTTCAATAAATAAGCCCACAATTTCTGTTATGGAAGCTAAACTGGTTTTTCGAAATGCCACTGAAAGTTCAGTGTTCAGTTTTGCTCTTCTTCAGAATTGTTATTTTTAATATATTTGTGTTCTTGATCTACTAATTCCCAGAGTTCATCATTAGAAAGACTGTTTCTTGCAAAATTTCTCCAAGATCTTTCACATTTACTTCATCTAAACCTGTTCGTTTCACTAATTCCATTTATATCAACAACAGAATCTCTAGTGTCATCATCTTGTTCAAGTCTGGCCAAATGTTTTTCCGCACTCCTTTTAAACACTTTCCCGTCACCTCATTCCAAGAAAGATTTATTTTTTCGATAGCATTCATATTAACCTGTTCGTTTCGTTAATTTCACTATTTTGTTTATATCAACAGCAGAATTTCTAATGCCATCATCCATTTTTTAATCTGACCAAATGTTTTTCCACACTCCTTTTAAACATTTCCCTGTTACCTCATTCCAAGAAAGATTTATGTTTCTATAGCATTCATAATATTATAGTTCCTCCAAAAGTCTCTTATTGATTGTTTATCATCTCCATCTTTTTTTTCAAACATTTGTCTAAATGTCCGTCACAGGCTTTAAAATTTGATATAACATCTTGATCCATTGGTTGGATTAATGCAGTTGTGCTAAGCAGCAAGTAAACCACTTTGACTAGAATGCAAGTTATTAAGTCAGATAAATTTGTTGGCCAGCTTGGAGCATTATCCAGTAGCGCTTTTGTTTCAAGTTTTTTTATTTCGCAATAACGTTTAATGTCCATTAAACAAAATTTTCAGTGAACCAATTCTGGAAAATTTGCATAGTTATCCATGGATTTTTATTAGACTCCCAAATTACAGGTAAAATTGATTTTGATATTCCTTTCATCGCTCTTCAGTTTTTGGAATGATAAAAAATAAGCAATCTTTCGCAGCTTTAAATCCTGGTGCACGTTTTTCTTCATGGAATAGAAATGTATGTTTTGGCATTTTTTTTTCCAAAATAGGTCCATTTCATTGGCATTAAAAACTAACTCTAGAGGATAGTTTTCTCATTCAATTATTGTTCTTAATGTTGTTGGGAATTCAGCCTTCAATTTTATACTTCCACCTGCTGCTTCTCCTGTAATTTGTATGTTATGAAGATTATTTTGATGTTTAAATCTATCAAACCATTCTTGAATTGCAATGAGAGTTTCAATTGTGTCACCTGTCTCAATCTGAATATGATTAAAAATTGCATTGCATAAATTTATACTTACAGTAACAGCAACAAGTGTTTGAAATAATAAAAATTCATTTGCGAGACTACAGAGAAGAAATAATGCAGATAAATTAATTTCGATTTTGCAGAAGCCCAATGCTGTGTGCAATTTTCAGGGAATCCCACTGTTCCAATAAAAACATGTGAAACTGAAACAACACTAAACAGACCAACGTTAAATGGGGTCTTACTGTACATAAAATGAGCATTAAAATTTTTAATGATATTGCAATTTATTTGATTTAATTATAAATTAAATATTACCTTTTAAAAAAGTGTCCAATCCCACTTTTTTCTCTATATCTTCCCTAAGTTGCTCCAAATTATTATAAATGTCTGTTGTTTCATCTAAAACACACCAGTTTAAAAGAGATATTTATAAAAGAAAATAAGTTTAAAATGAATTACAACTAATCATAAAAGCTTAAATCATTCCAGCTAAGGAAATGAACTAAAATACAGTGAAACTTCCCCAAGATGATCACCCACTATTTCACATGACTTTGGTCGGTACTTCTTTGTTAGAGGCCACTACATATGCTTTAGTGAAAATTTGTGACATTGAAATAATTTGGCAGGAATTCAAAAGTAATAGAACAAGTTTAAAAATTGAAAAATCACAATATATAGAGGGAATAACCTTTATTTACCTTTTTGGAGGCCATAATTCAGCAATCACTGTTCTTATAGAATCACATATTTTCTCTCATACTGCATACTTCTGGCATATAAATTCTCTTAAAAATGAATCAAAGTGTTGCTGATCTGTTCCTCTTTGTGTTTTGTTTTGCCATTTGGCCATATTCAAAGCTGTATTTATGATTCACAATAAAATATTAAATTCAACTTTTTTCTAATTCCTCACTCTGATAAGCATGCCAACAAAAACTGCTGCTTCTTCGGTTTATGATAAAGATTATAGATGGAAAAATAATGAAGGATACGAAAGAATGAATAACATCAGAAAGAAATTACAGCTTAATTTTCAGTTGATGATAAAGCTTAATTTCCAGTTAAAAGTAGTAAGCATTTTATAGAGAAAATAGTTATGAAAGACTGATATCATGTGGTCTAAAGTGAGTGTCAAAGTAATATATGATCCATGATATAAAAGAAAAAAATTAATCCTCTTTTTTTAATTGATTATAAGTTAAAAATGATAAGCATTTTTAAGGAAAAATAAATATTGAATTGATGATATCAAGTGAACAACACTGTAATCAAAACAGTCAAAAAATCAAAAACTTTGCAGATTAAAAATTTGGAGTATTACGTGTTGTTATTCCAACCATCTTAAAAAAAGGCATGAAATTTTTAGAATGGGTCAAATTCTGGCAACGATGCCCCAATCTTTCTATCAAGCAACATCATCATTTTTGTACCCATTCCTTTTTTATGTATTCCTTGTTTGGATGGATTTTTATATACAAATCATGATATTTTTTGCCTGAAACTTAATTTTAAATTTTGGAATATGCCAGCATCAGAAGAAACTGCAGTAAAATTTCTGCAGGAATATACAGTTTTGCCACAAAATTTCTACACGGAACAACAAGAAGACATGTTGGCAGATAACCACTGTTGCTGATTCTCTAATTTTTTCAAGTGAAAAAGGTTTCTTTGTACTTGGAGAAAGGAATAATGCAAAAAAATTGCAGAATGATTTGAAGAAGAAAGTAAATGTTTTATTTTTAATATATCACGCAATCCTTATTTAATAATTGAAATCTGGATTTTAAATTGCTAAAGCAGATTTTCTTTTTATATATTGATAATGATTCTCAATTTATGATAAATGTTGTCAATTCAGGATTTTTTTTAAAAAAATGCCGCAAAAAACCACCAACTTGCACTAAGCAACTTTTACCTTTCCATCTCTAAAAATTGTCAAATTGCACCAAGGTTAATATCTAAGTACCAAATTTGGCAATTAAGTTTGCCAATTTAGTGACTAATCTTCTGAACTGGCAACTGACTGAGGTGGTCATTTTTGTCTTCTGTAAAAGTAATCATGTTATAGAAATGATATTCAGAACTGAAGTTTATTTATGTTATCAGAAATGTGGGCCACTTTTCAGAGGTGTTGTCTGTATGGTGATCAACAAGAGAGATTTCACTGTATCTCTAAGATTTTTGAAATGGTAATTCAAATTTCATTATAGTTCACTTTAAAATGCTGTAGTAAAATTTAATTGATTCAACAAAAATTCTTTGATATGTGTTTGTTAATGTCAAGTTAAATTAATAGTTTATGCTTTTAACATAGCAGAGTGCTTGTCTGCATACTACAGCAAATTGTTTCTAATAACAAGACTTTTAACCTTTTGAAAGAAATTTATAACTGTAGTAATTTAAAGCAATATTGTATAATTTAACAATATTTTTAAAATAGATAATAAATAAGATAGTTTGGAACACACGATATCATATATCACTGAATATAACACAAATTAGAGAATTTAGTAAAAGATCCAGCATATACATATGTTTACATGTTTTGTTTCTGTATTCATAAATAGGTAAAATTACATAAAGATTTATCAGATTTTCACAGCAGAAGGGACTTTAGTATAATTCCAGAATAGGATACTCCTTACGTATACAGAACAGTATATAAAAAATAGGACAAAACCATCAGAATGGTGACTAAATGTCACATGCAGTTAACTTTTATTTATTTTTGGTGTTGCACATTACATAAACTGGTACTTTTTGTTTATGCACCTGCCACACATTTTGGTGTATTTTTAATTATAAACACACAATTAAGGGCATTAAATTAAATTACACACTCACTCAAAAATAGTGATCCACAGATGACTATAGAGCTATCTGTGGATTGGGTGTTCTCCACAGATACACCCAATCCACATGCATGTGTTTGGCCAACTGCATGTGTTTGGCCAAACTGCATGTGTTTGGCTTTTCTTTCACAGGCGTCAAAAACCATCGCAATGCACACTGGAAAAGCACCTAGCAATCATTCAGCTAACCTTTTATTTACAGCTGAAATTAAGATTTTCATGCTCCTCAGTCTCATACTGTTAATTTGCACAAGGATTTGGAACCTGAGTAAATTTAGGATTTCGTCAGTTGGCATGTCTTTAGGCTTGTAACAAAGGGTACATCTTCATGAGTTCAGTATCAACAGTTTTTTCTGCCACTGGACAATACAAATGCAGAATTATTTTTGAATAACTCTTCATTCATTCTGCAGCTATTTGATAAAACATCTTTCATCTAAGAAGGAAAAATTCTTTGCAGCTTTGTTTCTCAACCAAAAGAAAAAAAAATCGATCATAGTTATAGGTTTTTCAGGTAAGTGAGAAGTTGTCCACTTTATAATATTCAGTTACATTAGTATTCGAAAATTCAATATAATTGGTTTACTGAATCTGAATTTTTTTTTAGTTACTTGGAAAATCAGAAGTATTCTTAAATGGTACAGGGATGAAGCATTTGCTTCAAAAGGATTAATTTCTTCAAAAAATGAATGCTCTTTGCAAGCATAATAGCAATTTGTGCAAAATAAACAGTGGGTTTCAAATTCATTTGACTTTCACTTTATTAAATCTGTAGGTACTTACATGTCAAAGGAGATGGCTGGATGGGCAAACTTTGGTGGTAATTTAATACAATTAGCTTTCTTAATTATTATTTCAAATGGAAATGTTTGGCAATTGCTTCTAAAATAGCTTCTAAAGCTTATAAGTTATATACCCTTTGTGGTTCACTTTGAAAAACTCAAAACTGGCTTTTTAAAATTTTTCTGTTTTGTAAACAGCCTCAGAGTCAGAATGCATGTTTTTTCCTTTTTTGATATTTTCTCTGATTGCATTTAACAAAAGCATAGCTTTTTGGTCAGGTACTGTAAAAAGAAAGTTTTTTTTTAGTTTCACAGCAAATACCTTTTAAAATCCATTGAGGTGGCAAAATGCAGACAATGTTACTCATTCTTTTTGAAAACAGGCTTCCACCAATCTCTATGATAAAGTCTGCACTATTTTTTCACCCTATTACTTTTCATCTCGTAGATGTGAAATAACTCTCAAATAAATGTTCCAGTCTATCCATGTAAAATTTTATTGATGTTGTTTATTTAGGTGAGCAGTAGATGAACCTGATGGCAGTAACAAATGGTATTCTACTTGCTACAAACAAGCTGCCAACTTGAGTTCTCATCGATCCTATGTCTTTCAAACATGCCATCTGCTCTTTGATTGGCTTGAATTTCATGCAATTTGAAACAATGGCGGTTACTTGGTATTATATTACACTCTTGAAAGAAACTAATAGCATCACCTTCATTGTTTGGTAGATCCAATGGACCTATGAGCAAACTATAAACTCTGGAAAAAAAATCTCTGTTCTTAAAATTGTGATTTATAGGCATTCCTAAACTAAGCAATGTCATATGGTTGCAACAGTGATTAATTTGTGTTATGGTGCCAAAGTTGGCAACTATTCACTCTTTCTGACAATTAATTTCCATCAACATGCAAGTACCAATTTATGTGTCACATACAGACTCTTCCTTTTCAAAGTACATTAAAATTATTTACATACTATGGATGGCAAATTAAGAAATAAACTAATGCAGATTTTAATTTATATCTGTTTGAATCTTAATTGATACTATTTTTATTAATATTTTGTTCCTCCATGAAGAAGCCAGCAAGCTGCCAGTTTGAAAATTGTTCTCACCCTTGGCACATCAGGTTGGTAAAAAAAGTTTTGAAGTTGCCAAAGGGTTCCTTGTTCTGGAAAGAGTGCAAAATCTATTTTAAGGAATATTCAACACATCTTGCTCGCATATATATTCTGATATTATATCTAGCTAAACAGACAGTAGGAAAGTTGGGAACAGGCTACACTTAATAGGTTATTCCAGATTTGAGAATTAAGAGAATTCTGTAGCATTTCGTTGGCAAACAGTGGAACTGGAGCTAAAAATGCAGGAAACAGCAAAGAGAAGATCAGAATAAAGTCACAGACAAAAATTATTCAAGTCAGAAATCTAAATTGTGGGCATTCTCTGTAGGAAGAGATCAGCTACAATCAAAAGAAGTCAGCAAGAAAAAGTTCAGGAAAATTGTTAGTTAATATGTAAATACCAGAAAAATGTTTAAAATGCTTACCAAAAGACCATGAGCTACTGATAGATCCATTATCAGACATCTGAGATTGGCGTAATATTGATCTCATGGATTCACACACATAGAATATTTCATCATCTTCATCTTCATTACTACTTTCATTTCCACTTGTAACAGCAGTTTTGAATAGTTCTGAAGATTCAAAATGTTCACTCTGAAAAATTTTAATTATATGAATAGGTTGTAGGTTATTTCAATATGACAAAGCACATGAAGACTATCTGCCTAAGGGAGAGGAAGCCTTCATGGAGGAAAGGAGGTGCCACTTTCCCTCAGAAAATAGCTCACACTTTATACTTGGGAAACCCCAACTATGCAGTTAGCCCCTTTACCGGAAGAATTTTGAATCCAGGTTGAACTAACAATATTCAGCGAGCTGAAAGCATTTGTCCACTGATGGGGCAAATTATACAAATAAAGTAATATGCATATACTTAAATGTTAGATGAAATATTTCATCCAAAAAATTTCCTATACAATTGTTCTAAAAGAAAGTTAGTGGAAAAGTTATTTGTTTTTGTTGTTTGAAAAAGGAAAAGTTGTTTGTTATATGAAATCTATGAAAACTGTTTGAATGAAACAGTACAAAGTCTTTAATTCGAACTCGTCGGGACTTCGGTGATTCGGGATTAGGGTTTTTTCCAGATTATAGATCATGAATTTAAATCTGGTAAGATGGCATGCAGAAATTATAAAATTAAAAATATGAAACCGTAATTTATGAAATAAAAGGCAATTATGATCTAAAGGGTATTAAAATTTACAAAAAAAAAAGCTTAATATTTATTTGTTTACTTTATTAAACATTTCTTTCAATGTAAGTTAAGTTGCTTCATTTTGTGTGCTAATACTTTCTCTTTAATTCTATAAATAGACATAATTTCTTGTTCAGTTACAAAGTTCTGCTGTTCAAGTCCTGTAATTGTGCTGAGAATACCGACTAACTTGTCAATCAAAATTTTTTCGTTTCACTAACCTCTCTGTCACTTTCTTCATGCCTTTATCCATTTTTAGCAGCAATTCCACTTTTTGTTTGATGGCCATCAAAACATGCTTTCACTTTGTAGATCCTTTGGCAGTTCCAGAATCGGAAACTCTTTTTGACACAATTGAAAGTTCAAGCTTACTTTTTATAAAATAACTCTAACAGTCTGCAAAAAATAATAAGCCAGACCCAATTAGAAGATTGAGGAACAACGCAATCTGCAACATTAACTGAAATAGATAATTAGATAATTTTAGCCTAGCTTTTACCATCCGTTATACATTAAACGTGCATGCGTAAACGTATTATGCGTATGTGTTTATGCACATGCATAAACGCTACACATGAGCAGAAAGTTTGTAGCTTTGAGGTCCGGATTAAAGACTGTACTGTATCTCTCTGGTGCTTAAAACTAATGTTTCCCCCCAAGTGAAAATAGAAATGAAACAGTCATTTAAAATATTATTAATAGTTCATTGAGAAGAATGCTCTATTACACTCTTGCTTTAGATAAAATATTTTTTAATTTCAATATACGTAATGAAAATTAATTTTATTTCTAAAAGTAAATAAAGTTAAAAGAAAAAAAATCAATCCAGAAAGGAAACAGTCAAATTAGAGCGGTTGATGTAAATGATGAGCAAGAATTTTAATTGCGTAAAATGTTCAGCTATAATGAATAAGAAACTGAGAGCCTAGGCAGATTAAATCATCATTTTATTATCAGTAAACATGAGGCCGCAAACAAACTTGGCACATTATTTTTGCCTATTTAAAAGTGTTTACACCTTTGATAGATTTGCAATAAGAAGAGAGCAGCAAACAGCAGTCCACCTAAGCCGAAGAGTATAAAGCGAGTGTGTTATGTTCAGGATGAAATCTTAATTCAGATCGAGTTAATTTTCATTCTCAATGCATTTTGATTGGATAATTAATACTGCTGTACAGTTATTATTGGCTGTTTGAGTTTTAGTTCCATTTACATCATTAGAATTATGTAAGAGTCATACGATATGGATTAGTCTCAAGGCACTGCAAAGAGAGATCACTATTTTTAAAATAGAGATGGGAAATTAATTTACACTACTAATTTAAATTATCATTCACAAATTTCTTACATATATACTCAATATTACTTTAGTAAATATATATATACTCCTAGGTTGCCATTTTTATGTATTTAACATTTTTGGTTCTAATGTTGAATGTTAAACTTTTGTTTATTAAAATTTTTCGTAAATTAATATATATTAGGCTTTTTAAGTACAAAAAATTACCTTTCTTAATTAGTTCTTTATTTTCTTAATTAGTTTCTTTATTTTCTCAGTAGGAAGAGATCAACTACAATCAGAAGAATAGTTCAGGAAAATTGTTAGTTAATATGTAAAAACCAGAAAAATGTTTATCATGTTTACCAAAAGACCTATATATTGAGCTATATATATATATATATATATATCATATATTAAACTTTTTAAGTACAAAAAATATATATAGTACAAATTTCTTTTTTTAAAAATATTTGGTTGAGGTGGCTTTTTTTTTTTTTTTTTTTTTTTTTTTAAACACATGTTTGATTGACAGATTTAGGGATTTTACTGGTTTAAAATTTCATTTCATTCATGTCTTCGTAGTTTTGATTCTAAATACAGTGGGTGATCGGTTAACGAACATAATCCATTACAAGATTATATTCGCTATCCGAATCGTTTGTTAACCGATCACCGATTTACCATATATGTTAATGGGAATTTGATTAATTCGTTCTGGAGATCCTAAAAATTAAATTTTTAAAAAATTTCATGTACAAGTATAATTTCTTAGTAAGTTTATTTATTATAAATATAATACATACATATAGTCTCACTTATTAATCAGTCCTTTTCCTTTCTTTGGGTGTTAAAGAACATGTTTAATGTCGATTGTTTTTCTTCCTCCTTCAGGACTTTCAGGAAATGATTGATAGCAATGTCGTTGTAGAGATCAGCAACTCTATTGACATCAGCTTGGTTTGGGTGCCATTTTAAGACTGTTGCTCTGACATGCTCCCACTTCTTCAAAAGATCTTTAATGGCAGATGTCGGCATTGCTCCTCCTTCGTCTTCCTCTTTTTCAGAAGAAAGTACATTTTGCTGAGTTTCTTGGTGTTCTTCATTCAAGATTTCTTGGAGTTCTTCTGCCATTAAGTCACCTTCATGTTCGATTATGAGCTCTTCAATGTCATCCTCGTTCACCTCCAATTCCAGATCTCTCACAGTTGTTACAATTTCATCCATAATTTCAGGGGTGTCACCCTGATCACTTCTGTCTCCTTGAACAAGGGATGGACACAGCTTTTGCCAGACAGACCAACTGTTGTTGAGTGATTTCTGACCACGCCTTTTCAATAAGACGAATAGCTTCGAGAATGTCAAATTTTTCTATCCAAAACATTTTTAAAGTCATTTTAGAGGAGAATTTCCATGCTTCAAAACATCACCGAAACAGCGCACGAGTGTAAAATTTTTTGAAACCTGCAATAACCTCTTGATCCATTAGCTGAATCGCTGAAGTCGTATTAGCTGAAGTCATATTTGGAGGTAAAAACTGCACTGTCAGCCAGGGAAAGTCTATTAGCAAATTATCTTCAAGGTCCTTTGGGTGCCCTGCTGCATTGTCCAATAGCAGCAATGCTTTCAATGGCAAGTCATTGGTATCAAGGTAGTCCTTGATGCTCGGGGCACAAACTTGAAATAGACACTTTGAAAAGAACCTGAGTGACCCATGCCCTCTGATTCGATCTCAACATCACTGGCAGTTTTCTCTTGATTATGGAATATTTTTGAATGCTCTAGGATTCTCAGAGTGATATGAGTTCTTGACACTCCACTCTTTTTAGGTCCCCTAATATTGTCAGATTTTCAGGTTTTTTTTATAAGGCGTTTAGAGAAGCATATACGAAAATCACAAGCACAGAAACCAACTATGGTACACAATTGACAAAGTGTCGTCGCACACTACCATACGTGTTGTACGGTGCTGCCTCACTTCTACATAGTATAAATGATGAAGTGTCAGCGCACGCGCACATCCATTTTCAGGACGAATTGAGGACTGGTGTCGGGTGTTCCAAGACCCGTGAGGTTTTTGTTAGAATTAGTTTTTGTTCATTATCCGAATATTGTTCGTTGTCCGATTTGTTCGCTGTCCAAACTGTTTGTTAACCGATCACCCACTGTATCTTAATATTTTGTGTATCATTGATTTATATATATTTATAATGTATTGATTAATACAGTCAAAAGTCGTTAATCCGTACTCGTCGGGACTTCGGCGATTCCGGATTATCGATTTTTCCGGATTATAGATCATCAGTTTAAATATCGTAAGATGGCATGCAGAAATTCTAAAATTAAAAATATGAAACCGTAATTTATGAAATAAAGAACAATTATGATCCAAAGGGTATCAAAATTTACAAAAAAAAAAAAAAAAAAAAAAAAAGCTTAATATTCATTTGTTTACTTTATATTAAACATTTCTTTCAATGTAAGTTGTTTAAGTTGCTTCGTTTTATGTGATAATACTTTCTCTTTAATTCTATAAACAGACATAATTTCTTGCTCAGTTACAAAGTTCCGCTGTTCAAGTCCCGTTAATTGCTGTGCCGAGAATACCGACTAACTTGTCAATCGAAATTTTTTCGTTTTCACTTACCTCTCTGTCACATTCTTCATGTCTTTATCCATTTTTTGCAGCAATTCCACTTTTTGTTTGTTGGACATCGAAACATACTTTTGTTTTGTACGAGGGCCATCCAGGAAGTAGATTACGTTTCCGTCTGTGTCCGCTAGGGGCGGGGCTAGCGCGGCCATCTTGGGGTCAGAGCGTTGCGCAGCCCAGTCTGCATCTAGCCGTGCTAGCGAGAGGTTCGTGCTGTGCTCCATTCCTATACTGTGACGGTTTGAAATGTCTGCGTTAATTGAAAATCCCGCGAGCTGCGAGGTGCGCTCAGTAATAAGGTTTCTGACTGCAAAAACTGTAAACCGATAGAAATCTATCGGCAGCTTCGTGAAGTGTATGGGGACAACATTATCACTGAAGGTGGAGTGCGTCAGTGGGTCATAAGATTTCAAAATGGCGAACCAATGTTCACGACGCAGATCGAAGTGGGAGACCCAGCATAGTGACCGCCGAACTTCTCGAAAAAGTCGATGCTAAAGTCCGTGAAAATCGAAATTTCACAATAACGGAACTTTCTTTGAGTTTTCCACAAATTTCGCGAAGTTTGTTGCACGAAATCATCAGCGAAAAGCTTGGTTACCACAAGTTTTGTGCAAGATGGATTCCAAAAATCTTGACAGAGGACCACAAAAATCAGCGAATGGCTGCAGCGTTGAACTTTTTGGACGCTTACCATAAGGATGGTGACTCTTTACTCGATCGCATCGTACTGGTGACGAAAAAAAAATGGGTGACCTATTCCCTATTCCCAGCAATGAAGAAGTGGCTGGCTATGCAGCGTTTTGATGACGACGCACAGGTGCAAGAAGAGGTAACGAAGTGGTTGAAGGCGCAGGCGGCCGAATTTTTCGACGAAGGAATTTCCAAGCTCGTACATCGCTACGATAAATGCCTTAATTTGTATGGTGACTATGTAGAAAAGTAGTATTTGAGTGTGGCTTTCATCTGTATATAATAAAATTTGTTTCCTATACTTTGTTTATTTTTTTATTCCAAAACGTAATCTACTTTCTGGATAGCCCTCGTAGATCCTTTGGAAGTTCCAGCATCGGAAATTCTATTTGACATAATCGAAAGTTCAAGTTTACTTTTATAAAATTGCTCTTACAGTCTGCAAAAAATAATAAGCACGATCCAATTCGAAGATTAAGGAACAACGCAATCATTAACATTAACTGAAATAGATAATTAGATAATTTTAGCTTACACCGCCCGTTATACATTAAACGCGCAGGTGAAAACGTATTCTGCACTTGCGCACACGCATATGCGCAGTAGTCAAGGTCTTACATGCACGCGTAAAAGGCCTGTGCGCATGTGCTAACGCGGCACATTCGCAGAAAGTTTTTAGCTTTGAGGTCCGGATTATGGGTGTCCGAATTGACTTTTGACTGTATATATATTCTTGCAAATATTTTTAAGGAGTTTAGAAAAAACAAAAGGAAAAAGACAATAAAACCTAGACAAATATTTGCACAATGTGCAGCAAGATTTGAAAATAATAAATCAAAATCTCGAAAATCGGAACAAAAAAGAAAATGCTATGTTAAATATTTGAAGGTTAAACCTATTTTCTCCGTGTAACAAAATAAACTGGTAAAACGCATATTAAAGAAAATTACAAAATTCTAATAAAAAAATTTCATTTCAAAGAGGAAAAATATAAAAAATAAGAAATATGTACATATTAAAACCAAAATAATAAAAAAAACTTTTTAATATCCTTTGTTTAATGCTTCAAACAGAACTTTTCAAGAGAAATATATATGTAAGATATAATAAAATATGATGGCTACACTAAGAAATCATTGGCAACCTCAAAATTGACTATTCTAAATTTGGTGTTCTCTCCCCCCCCCCCCCCCCAAGTTCAATCGATTGTCCCAAATTCAAGATCTTTCTGTGTTATATAATACTGCTTGAAAAAGGAATTAAAACCTAAAATTAACCAATCACAGCTTAATTGTATTTATTAGCATAATAAATATTACTTTGCAAGCAACTATGTCACTCTTTTTCTTAACTTCTGCCCTGCCAACATCTCCACACTGCTTATCCTTTCCTGTCTAAATGCTTACATCGTACTCTTAAAACCAGAGTTTATAAAAATTATTGTATTTAACTATGCAATAAATGTCAGCCAAAATAATTTGACATGTGTAAAAATAAAGACTGGTGATTCGTCAAAATCCAGTTTTAGTTAGTTCCATCTGTATGCCTGCAAGCTCAGCCATGATGACTATCGAAAATTAAAAGTACTGGTGTCTTCTATGCATTTTACTACAATTATATATATTATAATAAGATATAATATATTGATTAGTACATATATAATAATACATATATTTTTAATTAAGTTAAATAGTTATTCATAAATTTATTCCCTTTAGTAGCCTCACGGAAGCATCATCATACATTTTTTCAGTTTTTCCTCTTTTTCTTCGTCCCGCATCCCAATTTCTTTTTCTGTCCTGAATGAATCGCAATGCTGTCAATTTTGCCCTCATAATAAACTTTAAAAAATAATATAATCATTTCAAAATATACTATATTACAAAATATTCATTTATTACACAACTCCAATCATGAAGATGACGTTTAAATTTAACACTAACATATTAATAGCTTAATAAAATCAGAGACATTTCAATACAAGCATTAAGTATAGTAATTATTAGGTATAACATCAGATATATCATCACTTTATATACTATTTTAAAAGTTTACCACATGTACACCAAAAAAATATAACACTTGCTCAAATATAATGCAAGTGAAATGCTCAAAATACAATGAAATTTAAAACACACATACAAATAGATTATGAATAAAAGACTAATTCTCACTGTTTTATATCAATCTAGTGGCTGGATATACTGGGCAGCTTAGTTCGTCTAAACTGCTTACATGCTATTTAGTGACAAATCTAGGAACTATTCTGGCCAGGAAAGTACTAATATCAGCAAGCATTTCTTATAAGAATTACCTACTAATATTTGTTATATGTACGGACATTTGTTATCATGCTAAAAAAATGGCATCTTGTATACAGTAACATAGCAGGCATAAAATCTCACCGATATGTCAGTATCGGTATATATTGCAGATACATCTCTGCATCTGTAATATATAGTAAAGGTGGCTGTCTGATGATATCAATGGCATCTGACATTCCAATTCCCTGCTGATAAGTCATGATTTCTATAAATAATTAACTTTTGACAACATATAATAAAAAAGTTAATAAAATGATAAAATGATAGATAAAAAAGTTCTAAATTTCTCCACATTCTACCTCTTAACACTATTTTAATAAAAGAAATATAGACAGGATTTAATTTATCAATCATGAAAAGATACATAAAAGTAAGCCCCTTTTTTGAACATTTTTCTCTGGAATAGGATTTTATTTCAAATTGCAATAATTCATATAACTCAATTTTTTAAATGTACTTCTACTATTTACATTCAGCTGTTAAAGTTATATTCTTCCCTCCCCCCTTTTTTTAAGAGAATAAATCTTTATAACATCAAATTTTTCTCCTTAAAGTAAAAAGATGCTTTAAAAAGGACTTACATTAACTTCATGGTCTGTGGTAGAATCAGGACATTCTTTGGCTTTCAGACAGGAAATGCTTGCAGAGTTTGGTAAATGTTCTTGATACACATAACAAATATTTGATAAATCTGGTGAAGAATAATATTTATGTTTCATAGATGGTACATGAGGTAGATAAGAAGAATAATACTGCCTATCATAATCATGATATTCTTTACTTTCAAAGGATACGGACACAAGCAATTCATTGGGATCACACTGTACACCAACATCAGTTTTATTAATTTTTACAGTACATTTACAAGAGTCACAACTCTTGTCATTATCTTTTATAGAATTCTGCTTTCTGAACATTGTTTCTGGCATTTTTTCAAGATTACTAATACTCATTTTTTCATTACCTGTTTCATGAAAGTTTTCCTCACTTCTAAGAGTTTCGGACTGTTCACGTAATGTAGGTAGGTGAAAATGATTTATTCTAGAATAGTTAATACTTTGTTCAACAGAATAAGTTTTATTTTTTTTATTTTGCATTTGAATTTTATCTGCATCAACAGATGGTAGATGAATGTCAATACCATTTTCTATCTCTTTTGGCTTATTAATACAATATGTTTTAAAAGCATCATTTATTTTTGAATTTTCTAAAATCATAGGTAAATTAGTTTCTTCCTTGTCTGGACTAGTTAAATTTTCTAGCTCTCTGTTATTTACTACAGTGTTCACAATGTGAATACTTTCAGTCTCAGAGAGACTTCTAACATAAGTTCCTTTCATTTGCAAAATATCATTAGTTATATTATTTGCAGTTACTCCAGAACCGACAAAAGTTTGAGATAATCCAACAGTTTCCTTAACATCAGAATTCTTAGATATTACTTCCTCATTATTATTCCCTACACATTTCTGCTTAACCAATGACACGTTTATCATATTTTGCAGTTCTTTGTTTTGAGATACTCTTATGCCATTGAGACATTTGGGAGCAATTTGTTCACTTTTAGGAGTTGTTGTGCACTGCACGTCACATATGTTATCTATATGATTTGGCAAATGTAAAAATGAATAATGGTCCATGACTGGATGTAATTTATTAAAAATGGCACTATCATTTGACTCTAAATATGAGCATTGCACATTAGATCTCTGTGATCTATTTGAAAAATTATTTTTTCTTAAATGAGGAGCAGAATGTGCTCTTCTTTGATACACAATAACCTTATCATTATGTAATGTAGATTCCATTTTAGAGCCTGTTTCTTCCAGAGGCATATCTTTAAAATAATCAATATTAGATATTACCCACTTAGGTCTAGACTTGGCAACTTCAGAACAACAGCCCTTGTCACTTGAAGAAGCAATTAGATTTTGCCTTATAAGAGGCAAATTCATATCCCCAAGAGCATTCTGCAATGTATTCTCCAAACAGTCAGGCACAGCTTGGCCCATTCTTGATTCTTGAATAACAGGAAATGAAATTTTTTGCTCTTGAGAAAGTAATACATTATTAGATGGTAATGGGCTATTTATATCAATTTTCTGAGAATTTTCACATAACTGTATTGATGACAGTTCAATGATTGATTTGTTTCTACAATCTGTATTGCATAAATTTTGTTGGCTCACTATAGATTGTTTTGAAACCTGGACATTTTCTTTACACATAAAGCTGTTTGAAACAGTGTCCATTATCACATGACTTTCCGAGTTACTCTTCTCACAACAGGAATTATCTAGCATACTTTCAGCTACATCTTGTAAATTTGAACTGTTTTCTCTACTCTTATCTAAGTTAATTTCATCATGTTTATTGGTAATTTTTTTCATAGCTTGTTTTGGTAACTTTTTTCTACCAACTGAAATACCATATTTTGCTGCAGGATCAGTAAGTTTTACCTTGTTAGATTTAGTATTATTTGAAAGAGCGCTTAAATTCTTATATGATAATTTGTTATTGAATTCTTCTTTTATTTTTGATTGATCGAGAAATTTATGAATGCGTTTAAGAATAATGGGCTTTTTTAATACTGTAGAAATTGATGGACGTTCTTGGGGATTTCTTTTAAGAATGTGAGTGAATAAAGATTTTAACTCATGGCTATAAAATTCAGGCATAGGAGGTATGGAACCTTTAACTATTTTTAAGATTAAATTCTTCATACTTTTAGCTTCAAAAGCATGTTTTAAAGTTATAAGTTCATATAAGACACAGCCAAGAGACCATATATCTGACTTATTGTTATATGGTTTATTCTGACAAATTTCTGGTGAAAGGTAATATGGGGTTCCAATGCAAGTTCGAGCAAGATCAGAAGTGTTATTCAAGACACGTGCTATGCCAAAATCACCAAGCTTAGCTATGCCAGATTTTGTTAAAAATATGTTTTGAGTTTTAATATCTCTGTGCAATATTCTTCTGTCATGAACATGCTTAACTGCTAGACATATCTGAACAAACCAATCAAGAATCTGATCCTCGCTAAAATGAATCCCATTTCTTGCTCTTATTTTTGAATACAGGTCACCACCATCACAGTAATCTGTTACAATGTACAAACTGTTGTTTTCTTCAAAGGACTTGTGATAGCTTATGATGTTTGGATGCTGCATTTGTGAAAGAACTTTAACTTCTCTTAAAGCTTCTTCCCTTTCATGGGGACTAAGATTTAACAGAGATACTTTCTTCACAACATAGCATTTCTTTAACTCGATATCTTGGACAAGGAGTGCAGAGCCAAACGAACCTTCACCTAATACTTTAATAACTTGGAAGTTATCCATCAGTACACTTTCTCAGGCTAAGCTGCAATAATAATATTTCTTATGAAAAATATAAAATAATATATGTATACTTACGTATTATCCAGTTGACTCTGAAACTGTTGCCAAGCAGCATGACTTATGGTACTTATGGTAAGGGTAAGTATGATGTAATAATATGTGCCTTTGTTTGATGTAAGCCCATGATTCTCGATAAATCACATTTTGTATATATAAATTAATTGTATATTGTACATTTTCCTCTTGCATTTTGAAAAAAAAAAAATCACTAAATTTTGGAAACTTTTTTTAATAAAACAGCAAGCAGTGAAATATTTTGATTCAGATCGTACCACCAAAATTGTGTATCAATGAATATGATATGGTCAGGTGAATACGACTGACTAAAAACTCATAGACTGAAATGATTACCTATGAGAAGTTCATACTCATAGTGTTCTGAAAAGAGTTTCCAATAAAATAGGAGGGCCTTACAAAATACAGTCGAATTCAGTTAATTGGACCACCGTATAATTGGATCAGCCACTTTTTCGGACCAAATACTAAAGAGCAGAAACAAATCCTATGTACATAAGCCTAATATTATTTGCTTATTTGGACCAAAATTCCATTTAACTGGACAAAAAAAAATGTGAGAACGAATAAAAAACAGAAGCCACAAGTCGGCCACGTAAGTGGATGTACAGGTGGTCTGCGACATATGGGAGGATCTGTAGTTGCAGCTCCCCAGGAAAATGCTTTATCAAAGGTCAGGAATTCCTTAAAATGTATGACAAAAGCAAAACTGGTGGGAGGTGAAAACGCACACCATTTTCTTTGACCTGCGCTTCCGAGTTTGAAAAGTTTGCTGGCCTCATCGTCAAAAGCCAGCGAAGTCAGTGCAAAGGTCAACATCTTACAAGCAGTTACATTTGTGACCGACAGCTGGCGAAAAGTGAGCAGTGAGACAATTCAGAACCTGTTTTTCTAACAGTGGCTTTAAGCACTTGGCTTTGGAGATGGATGTGGACATGCTCATTGAAAGTGAAAACTGATGATTTACATGTGGAACTTCAACTTTAACAGGTACAGAATTGCGAAGAATTTTTATCCATTGACAACGAGCTTTAATACTACAATGAAAATGAAGATTACAACGCTGCAATTGTTACTCGAGTTGCAGCAAAACACATGACAGCATCGGAAGACCAAGAAAGTGATGATGATGATGTTGCTAATAAGTTGGTGCAAGTGATAACACAGGATGCGAGGAAATGTGTTGAAACTTTGCGTCGGTATTTCATGCAGGAGGGAAATGAAGACAGTCCCATTGCTGCATTAGATGTTTGTGGCAATTTCGTTCCCGTGCAATCCGTCAAGAGAACGTGTCAGATCACATTGGATAAGTTCTTCAAATGTTCACTGGAACTTGGTAAGAACTTGTTTTTATTGTGCTTTGCATGTTGAGTATCGTGGAGATTGTTTCTAAATTAATTTTCTCAATGAAAAAAATTTCGACTGTAGTTCTTGTTTGTACATGTATGTTCGCCATACGTGTGTACTGCACCATAAAGTTCATAATTACATTTTAGTACATGATTTACATGTACATTTACTGTTTGCTACCTATAGCACATCCCGTTTTACAACATAGGACATGTTCGTGTAATCGGACCAGCCGGTTATTAGGACCAAAACGATCGCTTCCCAATGTGGTCCGATTAACCGGAATCGACTGCAGTAGAAATCAACAAGAGCCTTTTTACGAAGCATTAAACAGAAGATATTGAATACTGGTTGTTTATTAAATAACAAAGCATTAGCTCCTTCAGAATTCCACAGGAATGTTTGATGCAGCTTTGGCACATGATTTGATAGTCACCAACTTTCATAGTCTACAGGATAATACAAAAGTATTGAATAAACACAAAAATTAATTTTGATGCATGTTAAGATTTGAAAGAAAACTGTAATAATATATAATAATTAAAATAATGTAATTAGTTTTACTTTAAAAAAACAACATGGCTACCTATTTTTTCAGATCATTCTTAAGATGTCACAAATACATCAACTAACACTATATTAATTTAGCATAATTATGTATATTCATATATTCAAGTGAACTTAATAATTCCTTTCTTTTACTGAAACTTTATCATTCAAATATTTTACTAATCTTTTTTTAATTATTTTTTCACCACTACAAAAAATGACTGACGTTAAATCAAATTAAAATATAAATTATAAGTCAATTAAATATTTTAAAACACATAGATAAAGATGTTTTCTTAAAAATTAGTTATTATAGAAATAATTATAATAAATATACAAATATGCACAAGATCCAACTAAATAAAAAAAAAAAAAAAAAAAAACTTTTTCTTAGTCTTCTATAGCTTAAATATAATTTAAGACTTTTTCTCTTCCATTCTTATAAATATTGCAACAAAACGGAATATTTCTAAAATTAAATAAAGTGTTAAGAGTTAATTCATACAGGCATACTATTAATATTCTAAACAAATTTTATGCATTAAACTGCTTTAGGTAGTATTGTGATTAACAAAACTAGCTATCATGACACAGATGTACAAGAATACAAGACAAAATAGAAATCATGGATGCTGTAATGGTGTAGTATGTTTTGGGGATGGATTTTAAATGTTGTTACAAAAATCCTCTGAAACAATTAGTGAGAGATTTAGAAATTGGCATGTACTAAAAAACGGCATCATGAAGATTTATGATTCAAGCAAGCAGGGTGCTTTTCACATCAGCAGCACCAGAAGCAATGTTTTCGATACATATATATTCTTACTATACCTTTTTCATTCCGTCAAAAGTTTTGAATCCAAATTTCGAATATCAACTAAATTACGATCATGGTGACATTAGAAAAGAAGAATTTCTTCTTAAGAGAGAAATATTTCAGAGTTTAATTTCTGTTATTGTTAGGGAAATCAAATCAGAAAAGTGGTAGAACAGCTCTTTTGAATTTTGCAGTTTATTCTAAAATAGTAATTCCAGAACAAAGTTTCAACTGCTGTAATAGTGCAAAGCTTCTCTCATTTGTTGTAAATATTGCTATCTGTGAAAGTGTTTTTTAAATAAAAGTCATTTAAGTAGTATTTGAGAATTACAAGAGCCAAACAAACCTTCACCATTGTATTTCATATTTAAAAACTGTCTCCTGCCTACATAACAGACTGCAAAAGAGCATCTCTACTGTTTACATGACAGCAAGAGCAATCCAATAGACATCTACAATGACACTGATGATTTACAAACACATACACACACACACACAAAAAAAAAAAAAAAAAAAAAAAAAAATAGAAGAAAGGCAAAATAATAACACAGTTTTTAAAATCTTGGAATTAAAGTTTATTTTCAGAAATAAATGTAGTGTTTTAATTTATGTTCCACATGTCATTTTGACATTTTTTTAAATTATTTGTTTGCATATCAAGAGCACTGACAAAAGTTCTAGCTTCACCACTGCTCACACCCTGTAGTACTTATGTGTTTGGCTCTATGATGCTTCGATGTTCTCAGTTTCTGTGCTGTGTATGAAGTCTCTGCATTGTTCACCAACAATACTATACTATTCTCTACTGCCTGGTTGCTATCTAAATCATTTGGCAAGACCTAGCGGAGTTGACATTATCATCCTCATTTCCTGAATTCCTAAGTGGATGAATAAGAAATCTGACAGAGTTAGTTACAGATTTTTAGGTACTTTTCTGTTATAAGGACCAGAATGAGAAATGTTTGTATGTATGCATGCATGTAAGTATATGTGTGCTTTTATATACACACATACATGTCATAATAAAAGCAAAAGCAAAAGACGGAACACTGTAGATGCGTGATTAGACCCATATTGAAGAAGATTCTGATTGCGTAGTATGCTAGTAATGCTAACTTGGTAATATCTAAAGAACTTGCGTCGAGGCAGTTTAATTCCAATTTTATTTGCAACTGATATTTGTGGCCACAATCACTTGGCACTCTAGTCGTTCCACAGAAGATTTACAATTTTGATATTGTTGAGATAGAAAGCAAGCCAGCGAAATTACATCTTAGCACAGTAGAGAGCAAAAGCTGAAGTGCGTAGTTATGAAAGAGGGAAGCACGGCGAAGAGAAAAGTTTTGGTTTACAAGGGCAGTTTCAGTTCCCAATTATTACGTCATCAGAGCTGCACGGGCCATAGAGTGATCTAGAAATGATGCAATGCAGAGAAGTTATTACAATTTTAGAATAGAGAGGGAGGAAGAATTAATGTTTATAGTTATATTATAATTCTGATTCATATAATTTTATCTTACATACATATGTATGCACACTGCACAAAAAAGAAAAAAGGGAACAGTTCTATATCTTTCATTCTACTGGGCAATTTACGAAATTCAACTTGTGTTTTTCATGTCTCGAAAGTGCGACTTATTATATGTATATGTATATAAGATATGTATTAGATTCATATATAGCACTGTTCTAATATAGGTATTTTGACAAAAAAATGGGACTTTTTATGACATGCCAATTTTTTTTTTTTATATTTTGATTCTAGGACTCAAATTATGCCAAATTGCCAAGTTTTGTAAAATTCCCAAGAGTTTTTAAATAATTAGCTTCCAAAATTTTAGCTCCTCAATGTTAATTGAATTTGCTATATATTCATAATATCTCTTTTTCATTAAACTTATTTGATTCTTCCTTTGATATTTCGAAATTTAGGTTCATTCCAAATAAATTTCTCCCATTTTTTATGATTTACTTTTAAAATTTACATTTTAAAATAATTTTATAATTTTTTGAAAAACATTTTGAATTAAAATCTATAAAAATTTTACCATCTTATTAAAGTTGATGTATTTCTAAGCATACCTGCAAAAATTTACAATTTTTTTATTCAAAATTTCCAAACATATACGTGAATTTATATATTGGTGCATTTTGAAATTTGGCATATTTGTTGAAAGCGATAATAACATCAATATGGTTTAGACAATTTGTTAACATTATTTGAATGATGT